GACAACAAACAAAATATTTGTTAATATATGTAAGAAGATGCAGTAAAAAATACGCTAATCAAATTACTTTAAAGGGTAATGTTCATTGATCACTACTCTATTAAATAAATAATTAAAATCGAAATCTGTAAATTCTTCGCTCATAAATAAAATAAATCTATATAAAATAGAAAAATACCTCATGAATGGAAATGTGCATCCAATTAGGTTTTCCTGGGGAAAAATCAGCGGGCTCGACAATAGGAACTACACTCGATACTTGAACAAATCCTGAACATGCTGTATTATAACATCCTTCTCCATTTTTGCCCTATCAAAATCATATTTAATGTTTACAAGTTATTTGATTAAGGCTTTCACCATGTTGTATACACAATTTATATAACGTAAGTTAAAATTGTTCACATGCATACTTTCCAAAATCCAAATGTCCAAACACGTCCGTCGGGAAAAAAACCTGGATTTATCTGTCAAAAAAATTGCAATACTTTAAGACTACCCAAAAGATTCAACTAAAAGATGGAGAACTTTGATAAATAAAAAACGAAGAACAAAAAAAATCAATTAAAACCTACCATCAAACCCGCTGAGATATAGTTGACCTGATTATTTGTTCCACTACCTATATATATTTGCTTGAACGAGGCTTGATCTTTTGCGACGTTTAGATCATGTCCATCAAAAAATGCTTGTACACCATGGAATGGACCATTACGTGACCTTACTCCAGCAATCTACCAATAGGTGATTATATCAATGACTTGATACTTGAAGACATATAACAAACATTATTAGATCTATGTAATAGGAGAACATAATTTGAGATGAATGCTTACATGTGTTCCAGGGCTATCGGCTGATAAGGGTTGCAAAAATTTATCAGCAAAATGTTGCGAGTTTGTAATGAATTCTTTTGTGTTTCTCAATATAGGGACAGTTCCTGTTGAACATCCTATTTTCGTTTTAAAAGATGTTTTGTCGTTGCCAGTATGATTCTTGAATTCAGGTCTTGAAACTGTTGGTTTCATCTTTTTCAAAGAGTAAATTGTATAGTCAATATTTATCACATTAATAAAAATAAAAATGTACGAGAAGAATTTTGGAGACTATGCACCTGGATTTTGTGAGTTTTGAGCAAGGGATGATCAAGTCCAGATTGTTTATAGATATCAATGCAATCGTATGTTACATTTCTATTTATCTGTTAATGATAAAGAAAAAGATGTGAGAATTAAACTCATTCAATGATATATCCGATTATAAAAGAAAGATTGATTTTTAAAGTACTAGTTAAAAAGATTTATATCTTCGCCCCTTTTTTTAATTAAATCACTAATGAAGTAGGTGCAAATAATATTTTTCTCAAGAAAAAAAAAATGAATCAGAAGAATAGGAGGAGACGTGTGTCTCAAGTATTTGTTGAAAAGCTGACCATGAAGGATCTAAGAGGCGCCGTACTTTGATCCGAACGAACTAGGACTACTAAGAGCAAAAGAGAGAGAATATTTATAACGAGAGCCATCTTAATTCTTGTAGACATTTTATTTGTATTGTTTCCTCAAAACTAAGGATACTCTGTTATATATATACACATCACGAGGTCAAGGAGATAAAGGTATACGTTTAAGGTATTATGATAAAGGTATATGTTTGATTTTTTAACAGGAAATAGATATTATGGTAAAGTAAATACTATAAATATTTGACCGAAATTATCATTAGGATCGTATATGTTTTGAAACTTTTGTAAGTGGATATTAAATGGGGGAATTCTACTACTTTGACCAAAAAMRAAAAAAGGGGGTTACTTACTACGTAATTATGTATTAGTAGTTTGCAAATTAAAAACCAAGAAATGGTAATGAATGCGATGACCAAAATAATTGTAGTCACCGTGGATATTTGTCGATACAAGCTGATAATCGGTTGACCAAGAAAAAAGAGAAAATGAATTTTTTTTTTTCCAAATTAAATTGCAGAAGAAAGAAACATTCTATTCTCTCTGTCCCACTATATAAGATTTTTTAGATAAAAGCGCAGAGTTTAAAAATGATATAAATATTAGTTTTTGTTTTATTTTTTTATATTAAAATTATTATTTAATTTTAATATAAAAAAACATGACTACACTATATTTAAAAGTCAGTCATATTAGATCAGTGATTTGCAAAGAGATAAACATTTAATATTTGATTGCTACCAAGTAAAATAACGTTCAAGACTATGAAGTTGACGCCTGATCCACAAATTGCAAACAAACTCTTTTGACCATTATGATGCAAGTGAACTATTTGGGGGAAAGCGTACTAATTCCTCCCCAAAACTGCCATATCTCTTTAGATAGATCCGAAAAATTAATCTCGTACTACTTCCTCCCAGAACTAACATTACACGCTTATTTTCCCAGAGATACTCTCATTCGTGTATCAACAGATCAAGACCCATAGTCAAAGCTAAGGCAAATTGTAAGACCAATTGCCATTAATCTTTAGGTCTCATTATCAACCAAAAAACTTCTTCCATCTACTATAACACCTTTAACTTCTTATTCCAACAAAATGTAAGTTAAGCAAAACAAAACAAAAAATCATAAATTTCACCAATCCAATTCTTCAACCTTTTTTCAATCCTCCGGCTCGTTCTTCCTCCCGACACCTTCAATTCCTTCCTTCTCTTCCAAAAGCCGACCGCTTTCTTCATCAACCTGAGCAGTCTTTTGAGCTTCTTTAGCCTTCAAAGCTTGTAACTTAGCGTGATTGTAATACGCAACTCCCAAAAACGCAATACCGTAACCAAAAAGATTAATAGGAGTCACAGTATCCTTAATAACCGACCACGAAAAGGCGATCAAGAGCCAATCCTTAACCACACCAGCAACATTCATGGTCAAAGCAGAGGTTTTCCCAACAAGAAGGAAAACAGCAAGATTCAAAGCAAACGCACAAAACGAGTTCGTCCCAAATATAAGATAATCGAAATGGAACGTAGAAGTATCTCTCAAAACCGGAAACTCCACAACAATCCAAGGGATAAACAAGAAACCTAAGCAGCAAGGTGCAACGTAATACAAAGAAGTGATTGGATTCAACGTGATTCCTTTAGAAGTAAGCGAGATCTGAATCATTACCAATCTTGTCGCTTCAAAAGCAACCGCACCTAGCTGAAGAATCACACACCAAACATCAAACCTAGCTTCTCCATAAGCCGCGATCGCTACACCAAACGAGATCGAAAGCATGTTAATCATTGTGTCCGATTTAAAACCTTCTTTCTTGAACAGAACACCGATCGAGTAAACCGCGACAGGCATTAAAGCTTTAAGTATTTGTATGAAGGAGACAGAGAGGTAAATGTAAGCAGAGTTAGAGAGCCATAAGGAGAGTGAATACAAAGCGCCGATTGGTACGACCGATTTGAGATAAGTGTCGCGTGACATTGAGACAGGCTCGACGAATTTGAAGACTTTGATTAGGAGAAAAGCTAGGGTTGAGCAAAAAGACATGTGGATCATTGTGAGTGAGATCGGAAAAGGCCAATCGTACATCTTCTTGTCGAGGATGTATTTGTTGTAAACGATTACGGTGAAACTTAGGAAGATCCATATTGCAACGTATGTGTAAGAGAGGATTATTTTTAATCACGCCTTCGCTTAGTGATCCACCTTTCCCCATATTCGTGATACTTTCTCTGGATGGTGGTTTTGCGGCGGAGACGATGATGAGTGAGGAAGTTTGTGAATTTTTAATTTGTGTGAGATCCTGAAAAAACGTCTTTTCAGAGTTTACCTAAAGACAGAGATTCCTACACGTAACGGAAGTGCATCACCAATATATATTAATTTGTTTTATTTCTGTGAGCACTTTAAAGTATTTTTTTTAACAAAAAATCTGAAGATAAGGATGCATATAGAAATTATTTTTATTTTTTTGCTAAAACGC